GGACTTGAAAACCTGCTTCCGAAATGATTTTGTCACGAAGGGTCGTGTTATCGGTGTTGAGGTCTCGCAATAGAGTTTCTTGGTTGATCCTGGAATTAGAACTTGAGTTAGCTTTAACCCTCTGTTAGCTTTGATTATCTCTTGTATGACACTCTTGTGTTTCGCGGGTTTTCTCCGTGTTCAAATCCATTCTTGGAATGCCAACGTTTCGTGAACCTTGCAGTCCACTTCATCAGGGCGAGGAGCAGCCTATTCCTTCAAGAAGATGTCGAAAATGTTTGACTGCTATGTAGATCGCAAGAAGTTCTCTGTCAAATGGGCTGTACTTTATTTGTGCATTACTAAGTTTTTTACTAAGGAACGCCAAAGGTTGCCATTCTTCTTCGACACGCTGATGAATTACTGCTCCAATTGCTGTATCTGATGCGTCTGTCGTTAAAGTTATTTCAGTCTTTGTGTTAGGATGTGCCAAGATTGTTGCTCTGGACAAACTATTTTTGCAGTTTAAGAAAGCCTGCTCCATATCCGTAGTCCAGTCTACAGGCTTCTTTCCTTTATTTTTAGGTCCTTTGAGAGCATCATTTAGACGAGCTTGGTCTTTGGCTGCCCCTGGAATGAATCTTCTATAGAAATTTAGCATTCCAAGGAATTGTCGTAACTGCTTGACTGTATCTGGTTTTGGAAAGTTTTGAATGGCTTCAACTTTTTCTGGCAAAGGTTGCGTTCCGTCTTCGGTTACAAGGTATCCAAGGAATTTAACCTGTTGCGCTCCAAAAGTACATTTTGCTGGGTTAATTCGAACACCATATTCATCCAATCGAGTGAATAATTGTCTCAGGTGCTCCTTATGTTCCTCAACTGAAGCTGATGCTATAATGATATCATCTATATAGGCGTAGCAGAAGTCTAATCCATGAAGTACCTCGTTGATAAAGCGTTGAAAAGTTTGTGCGGCGTTGCGAAGCCCAAAAGGCATGAAGCAATATTCGAAGAGGCCGAATGGAGTTGTGATTGCTGTTTTTGGAATGTCTTCTGGATTCATAGGTATTTGATTATACGCTCGAACCAAGTCTATTGTCGTGTAGATCCGCTTCCCATACAAAGAGTGTGAAAAATCTTCTATATGTGGAATTGGGTAACGATCTGGAACTGTCCGCGTATTTAGTCTACGATAATCTCCGCAAGGTCTCCAGGCTCCCTCTTTTTTAGGTACCATGTGAAGCGGTGCTGACCAAGGACTTTTTGAAGGTCGAATGACTCCTTCTTGTAATAGCAAATCAAACTCTGCTTTAGCTGCTTTAAGTCTGTCTGGTGCGAGACGTCGTGGTCGACAAGCTTCTGGCTGACCTGATGTTGTCTTGATGTAATGTAATGTACTATGCTTGATTTCCCTGTGATTTCCAGGTGGTTGCGTTATTTTCGGAAATTCTGCCAGAACTTTGTGAAATGTTGATTCACCATAAACTGTTTTTATGGAGAAAATTCCACTAGAATTGACCACTCCTGGAGTTGAAAATCCTGTCTTTCCATCAAGTAGTTTTTGTTCTCTTACATCTGGAAGCAAATGATACTTTGACAAGAAATCTGATCCTATAATTGGTTGATCAACATTGGCGATGATGAATCTCCACGGAAATGTCCTTCTTAATCCGAAGTCTGGTTGAAGTGTTTTCATTCCGTACGTTGTTATTGCTGAACTATTGGCTGCAAATAACTGATACTGCTGTGCCGGTAATTGCTCTTGCACCATGGAGAGTGGAAAGACGCTAACATCCGAGCCGGTATCTATCAGGAATCTGACTTTTAAAGTACGGTCCATCATAAATAAGCGACATGGTTTAGGGCCTTTGTCACTTGTCGCCATTAATGACTGCCTTCCGAGTTTTTTGTTGTTTTGAAAGAGCAGGGTTGAGTACATTTTCGTGCTTCTTCTTTGAATCGGCGATGGTAGTAGCATATACCTTTTTGATCAGATTTTTCTTGTTTGAAACGACTTCTTGATCGATGACTTCTTGATCGATTTGAGCGAAGTACTTTTGTCATCTGCGTTGAAAGTGCCGCAACCTGCTTAGTGAGTGTTAAAATTTTCTCCTCCAAAGCATTCTGCGTAGATTCAGCAGAAGGTACTGAAGTTGCAAGTACGAGTGCCTTACTATTATTCACTTCGTGTATCCGATCTGCTTGCTCTGCAATATCTTCTAATCTGTCCTCACTTCTCGTTGCTAAAATTGCCTGCATTTGAGAAGGAAGTCGTCCAAGCCAAAGCGTGCGAAGGAGTTCCTTTGAAACAGCTGTGCCTGCCAACGTGCGATGTCGCAAGAACTGAGATGGTTTCCGGTCACCAAGTTCTTCTCGCTCCAGCAACTGACGAATCCGCTGGTTTTGAGAGTCAGTAAGCCTTTGAATTAACGCCTTTTTCAATGCCACATATTTCCCGTGAGTTGGAGGTTGTGTGATGATGTCTTTAATTTCTCTCGCCTACTTCGGTTCAATTCGTGAATGAGCGTAGGCGAACTTTGCGTTGTCATCCGTAACTTTACAGAGAGCGAATTGTCCCTCAAGCTGCATGAACCAAATCTCCGGTTCTTTTGGCCAAAAGGGGGGAATCCTGACTGTTAACCTTGTTTGATTTTCATCATCTTCCTCGGCGGTTTGTGCACTGCCAGACGCCTTCGGCACGTTGTTTGTATTGAATTCTTCGTTGGAATCTTCAACTTCGATAAACTCGTCCTGATCAGAGTCTTTGCCGTGTTTGGAGTTAATTCCTCCTATTTTCAAACGTCGGGGTCACCAAATGAAGGGTTTATGGTAGCGTGTTCGTTTTTTATAATTTATTTAACTTTCTATAAATTCGTTGGTCCTGAAAAGGACCGTTTTTATGTTTACAATTTATGTGGCCCTGAAAAGGGCCGTTTATAACAAAAACTATATAATTCTTTCTCTATAAGAGATTGTCG